CAGAGCACTGTCTATAAAAATCAAGCAGTTACAAGTCCTAAGTTGGACTTGGACTGGAACTGCTGCTGGACAGCAAAACCCACGATCCTCCAATGGTCAGATATACCTCCACTGTCGCCTGCTTCTTCCGAGGATTGACTGACTTGTATTCTTTTGTGTATTTTGAGTCTAGATTATGATTGCTATATTGATACAGCAAGTCATGTATTAAGATTTGACCTGATATGAAGAGGGTCCAGGTGATTAGAAACCATAAGCTAAACTGTGCTATAAAATTCTATGTTATGCTACTTATAAAATTGTGCTACACTGATTCTGCTTATTAAAACGTGTGCTACTCTGATCATAAGATTCCATGCTGACCATAAAATTCTGCTAAAAATAAAGCTTTAATTTTAACTACAACTTAGTGTCAGCATCATTCTGCCAAAGATCCTTAAAAGAACTTGTCTGTCCCCGTAGAGCCAGGTGACACTCAGCCTCTCCTCGTAGGAGAAATGCTCCAGTCCTTTAATTATCTTCGTGGCCCTTTGCTGGATTCTCTCCAGTATATCCATGTCTCTTTTGTACTGGGGAGCCTAGAACTGGACATGGTACTTCACATGCAGCCTCACTAGTGCTGAATAAAGGGGAAGGATCACCTCCCTCATCTTTCTGGCAATATCCAAATAATGCAGCCCAGGATACCATTAGCCTTCCTTGCTACAAGGGCACATTGCTGTCTCATGTTCAGCTTGGTGTCCACCAGGACACCACACACCCTTTCTCTAGTCCTTTTCTGCGAAGCTGCTTTCTAGCTGGTCAGCCCCTGTCATGTACTGTTGCATGGGGTTGTTCCTCTCCAGGTGCAGGACTTTTCCCTTGTTGAACTTCATGAGGTTCCTGCCAGCCCATTTCTCCAGCCTGATGAGGTCCCTCCAGATGGCAGCACAACCCTCTGGTGTATCAGCCACTCCTCTCAGATTTGCATCATCTGTGAACTTGCTGAGGGTGCACTCCTTCCCACTGTCCAGAGGTGTTGGCAACTTGGTGCTAAAAATATATTTTGGGGTATCCATATAAGATTTTCCCCTATATAATCAAGGAAGGGGGAGGAATAAGGAAAATATAATAATTTTAATATTCAAAGTCAGGCTTGATAATTTACATTTAATGACATAAAATATTTAAGTGTTCATGCATTAGAATGAAGAACTTATGTGTGTTAAGGAAATTCACAGCATTGTGGTATTATTCTCTTCACTGCTCATCACCTATAGGTTTGGATTAATTCTACTTATCTTTTTTTTAATTTAGCGAGTAAAATAAAATTTAAATTTTAGTTAAGCACAGTAATTAAAGCAGACAAATGTTGTATAACATGCAACAATAATCAGCTAAACACTGACAAACACTTCTACTGTTCCCTGTTGCTGAACTACTGCTAATGGTGTGAGCTATACTGTGTTCTGGAAATAAGAGGCTCCCTCACAGACTTGCATAAACCCCTAAGGAGGAATTTTTCTGCTTTTGGTGAAATACAATTTAAGCATTATGCTTCAGCTCAGTCAAATTCCATCTTATACATTCATACTTACTTGCATACTTACATTCATACTTACTTGGGAAAAAAAAAAAGATATGACTTAGCAAGCAAACTTATTTCATAGGGAAAAGTATTATACCAGCATACATGTCTCAACTTTAAAATACTAAGTCCTTTTTAATTAAAATACTGAAGAAACTGCTTCTTCACAACCTGAAGTCACATCACTACATTTTGCTCATGAGAATAAAATTTACAGTCATGAGTTGCACATAAAGGATTTATTTTAAATGTTTTAAGGATAGAGTTACATCATAATTATAAAAATTACTTACAGAATTAAGTAACAGATTTAAAGTGTTCATACTTCTAAATGCAGAGAAATAAAATAAAAATAATGGAACTGAGCTCTAAAGATGAAATCATTATCTAATTTTAAAATGTGAACATGAAGATCTTTGAACTATACACATACTAAGAACCATCCAAATTGCACTAATGATGTAAAATACAAAAAGCACAGCATTTTCAAGGAACCAGAAACTGCTTTTACCATAATTCTTTTTCCCTGAAGCAACTATAATCTATTCTATCTGAAGATAAAGTCTCAATTTTTAAATAATTCATTTAAAGAAGGCTTATACCTATTGCAACAAATAGGATTTCCCCCAAAGTATTTCAGTCTCTATGCAGTCCAACTTAGTTTAGGGTTTGGCACTCAAAAGAAAAATGTAGTGTTTTACTTATCAATTGTGATTTTATTCATTCTTGAACAGAATACATGGTTCCTTCAAATGCTGTATGACACATACAACTGGAAAATTACCTTCCGTTGGTACTACGTTTACCTCACCAGTGCATTTAATCTTACTAACAACCATTCAAACAGCACAATAAGCAAATTCACAAAAAACTGAACACAAAATAAAACCAGAACAAAACTCAAACCTAAACATTATAACATGCAACTTTAGTTTGTTACATAGAACATTCTAACCTTCTAAGCATGCAAAAAAAGATGGTCTGCATTTAAGGTTTTTTTTTCCTTGTTAAAATGTTTTACATGGCAGCCTGACATCATGCACATGCACAATATACAACAATTATACAGCAGGTAAATGAGAGAGGCCAGTAACTTTTATACAAAGATCCATGGCTTGTGCCATCACAAGACCTATGATAAATTTGGAAAGTAATGTTGAACCCCTAGAACAAGGGATCAACATGTAGTTACTAGGGTAATGCAAGCACTGCATGCAGATCTGAAATATGAGCCTAAAATAAAGCCCAAAGCAGATGTCAGGGAGTGGAATTAGTCTCAAGTCTCAAAAAAGTGGTTTAAGCTATTAAAAAAACAACTACAAAACAAAAACCACCCCCTCCCAAACCTTAAGAAAACAGATGAAAATAAAAAACCCATGCAACAGACAATGGGGACATCTAAAAACAACCATAAAATTTGAAAGTGTATAGATTATGTTCTAATTAGCAAAATATGTGGTGTATTAGAGTAGCTTGCATAAAACCCACAAATGCAAGCCTAATCCTAAAAATGTTGCAGTAGACCTAAACCTCAAATTTTTCAAAACAAACCTTGTATTCCTTAGATGTAAAGCCCAAAATTCATCATACTAAGTTATACACATATTTTATGTATAATCAATACACTCATTCTTGTGCCACAAATATCAACTTGGGCTCATGGAGCCAGGCTCAGCTTTGAGATTTACATGCAGGACTCTTAAGAGTCAATAGAAAGCACATAACAGATCTGCATGAGAAAAGCACTATGTTGCAAATCTGCTCACTTTGTTCAAAACACAATGACAATTTACTGACTCAGGTACTTAATGCTTAAAGACTGGATTGAGAAGCTGTGAACTGAAAGACAGTAGCCTGCCTTTGGTTGCCCATGATGAAATACAGGATATAATGCAATACAGTAGCAAGGAACAAAGAATTAAGATACCATATTTATACAGTATTACCATTTGACTGCATAATGAGGCACAAGCCTTAAGGCTAAAATATGAAATCAGGCCAAAAAATGGGCAGAAAGGGACTTAAACCACTGAGTCTTTGATATAAAGAATACCCATAATAGAGGTCAGACCTCTGATCGCTGATTAACAGTACCTCTCCTGCATCCTTCCACTAACAGCATAAGGTTGGATATCTATGTATTCCTTTTTTCCATCAATAGTGTTGACTGTATTCACATTCTTCACATACTGTATTTGTGTGAAACAGTGCTTTGAAGCTTGTAGAGCTCTGCTTTAATGTGACAATTTCGTCACTGTGCTGATCCTTGTTATAGTTCTGATGCTTTTAAAAGTTGCTACATTTACAAAACACCAAATATCCTAACCTTGATTTACAACTATCTTGCAAGATTAAAACTGTGAAAGGATTCTGCTGTTGTGGGCTGCTATTTACATCCACAATCTAATGCAGATGACTGAACCACTGAGACTGTCTATAGCTCCCATTAGATGCCACTGGCATGCAGTGTCTCTAGTGTTCATAGAATGAAATTCATGTTAACAGCATACCTCAAAGCAAGTACACCACAAAAGGCGACAACAGGTTTAAACTGTAGATTTGTCTGGACGCTCCTTACATGGAAAAGCCAGAAAAAGAATACATTAAGAAGATGCCTTCTTGAACCAAAATGGTTAAAAACAATAGCAAAGCCCAAAACAAAACAAAACAAAGGAATACAGCAGACTGAATAGAAGGCAACAAATGCTTCTCCTTTTCTAAATGATGTCTTCACTGTAAAAGGACCCCCCACCCTTATAAGATTGTATATACCATGTAAAAGATTAACTAGTATTAGGCTTCTAAGCACAAACAAACATTCAGGTTGCTAGGTTCTGATATTAAATGAGAGACAACTGATTGCCAATGCGTAGTCTAAAGTCTTCTGAAGTAGCATATATACTGTTAAAATTGTGGCACCAAGCACTTGGGTTCTGCTAAGAAATGTGTATAATGAAACAGAGTACAACATTTAGGATTAAAGGCAGCTTTGTTGTGTGTATTTTACTGGTTCCAACAACTTGCAAACACAGGCCCTTAACCTGCATTTTGTAATTAACTGGTTATACAGATTAAATATATTTTTATAGTTTAAAGCCTTTTCACTGAAAGGTGTGTAAGTTAATCACTTGATATCCTACTGCCCTGTGACTAGGAAAAATGCACAAGTATTTCCATGTACTACAAGGTCTTAAAAAGCTTAATTTGAAATAAAATGTAGAAACACAGTAGATTGATGTCACTTGGGTTAGGCACTCCTTACTGCTGCACAAACTTTAAATCTTTCAGAAAAGTCACCTCTGTCCCAACCCAGAAAACAAGGACTGCCAGTAGCCAAGAAATTAAATTTAATGTTACAAAAGAAGGCATATTGAAAATAGCAAACTACACTTGCATGTGGCAGTTGAACAGGTGAGTGCAAGGTTGAAGAAAAAGTTAAAATCTATGAAGAAAATTAGATTACAATACTAGATTGACTTCACACAGCTTGAATTTGCAGCTGTTCTTTGCTTTTAACTCCCTCCCACCCAAAAATATTAACTTTCTTCAAGAAAAGGAGTTCTCTTATGCAAAATTTGTCATGTTCACATAAATTTGTATTATTCAGAACAAGTTTTGCTGGCAGAGATTGTAGGTTCACAGGGACATTTAAGCTTTCATTTAACTGAAAAACAGTCAAGTCTGTGTCTATAAATTTTACATTTAATAGTTCCACAAATTTGGCAGAAGTTCATGATGATGTCTAGGATGTCTTCACCAAATCATAGACATAAATATGGAAATCATCATCAAACTTGATGAAATAGACAGATGGTTTGGCTTCAACTTGATGAATGACCATGCCAGTCCGTTTTGAGCCATCTTCTTTGGCATATTCCACTTGTTTGCCTACCAGGCTATCCACAACTTCACCTGGTTCCCGTTCTGCAGGAGGTGAATCATCTGCAATATGAAAATACAATGTACTTTGGTAGACCTTTATGGATTTTTTTCCAATATACAAAACTGCAGAGCCTTCTTTAACAGTTAAGAAACAATCACAAGTTTAAAATGCAGAGTATGTCTAAAACAAGATGAGTTGTTCAGACAAGCACCTATTGCCATATTTATAGAAAGTACAATCACAGAATTTATTTTTCTTTTAGATAATACCGTCTTCAATTTTATGAAGTAAAAAATAGCACTTTGATTCATTAGAAAAGTAAATCTTTTTACTTGAAGGTTTATACATCAATTACTGAACATGACTGTAGATAATTGAACTTAAGCCCCCAGCAGAACAAGGCACTGAGTCTCCTTAACAAAAGGCAGGTATGCTAGAACTCCCTCTCTAAACACACTTTATTCAAAATGTCAATGCAAACATGCCATTGCAACAAAACCACATCTCCCAAGCTAATTGTAACTTCCTTAATCCATAATGCAAAGGGGCTTTTGATTTCACACTAGACATTTTCTACAGACCTGTCAGTCTGATCTCGGTGCCAGGGAAGGTTATGGAATAGATTATCTTGAGTGCTATCACATGGCACATGCAGGACAACCAGGCAATCAGGCCCAGTCAGCATGAGTTCAGGAAGGGCAGGTACTGCTTGACTAACCCTCTATGACAAGGTGATCCGCTTAGTGGATGAGGGAAAGGCTGTTGTCATTGTCTACATGGACTTTAGTAAGGCCTTGACTCCATTATTTTCTTCTTTTTTTGTACTAGCTATCGAAATCTCTTGAACAATACAGATTGTGAAAATCCTTCTATATTTATAGGAAAAAAACCCAATAACTTTCACTTCAAGAAAGGAAGAAAAAATATTGCTCCTAGCCAATTGAAAAATTTTTCCTGTTTATGTGTTTAAACATGTGAGAGAAAATGAGTTTTCAAAAGATTAGTGCTTCTTTCTTCCAAGAAACTATTCAAAAGCTTTCCAAAATGAAGATGCCTACTCAAACTAAATTAATGGCTATTTTAGTTAGCCCTGAAACATTATTCTTATAAAAACTGCTTCAGAAATACAACTCCTTGAGATGGCTCTTCATTCATGACACTTCTATAAAAAAATAACAATCAAAGGCTTCTAGTTTGTTGGTTTCTGTTAAAAAAACCCTAAGTTTAATCTCTTCCATAACAGTATGTATATCTTTATCAAAATTAGGTATTATTACGGGAAAGGATTTTCCAGTATTTATCGCATATTTCACCGCTGATTCAAGTAAAATATTTCAGAAGTTGTTTAATACAAACGTGTTTTCTGTTGTGCTGTAACTTTTGTTAGTTTTCATACTTTAAAAGATCCTTGTTTGTCAACTCTCTTTTCCATACATAAGCCAAACAATAATACAAAGAGAGATGCTGCTTTCCAGAATAAAGTAACTGGCCTACTTACTGGAATCAGGCATAATACGAAGGTCACCTTCTTTATAGTCATCTAAGAGTTGGTACATGTACAAGACAGGATCTTTCTCGTAGGTAATATAAAACCATGTGTTCATAATAGGAGCTCGAGCCAAGACCATCCCCCTCCATTCATCTTTTGAGCCATCCTCTGTCTCAAACATATGTTCCACAGCTTTGCCAATCATTGTGTCTGCCAGGTGGGCATCGCTAATTCGAGATGAAGCTGAAATGGTAGCAGTTCATAAGTTTGTCCATTCAAAAGTACAGAAATAAGTCTTTGTAAAAAATACCCTTTATCCAGATTCATGAATAAATTTGAAAATTAGTCAATTTGCATACAAAACAAATACTTTTAATTCCAGAGAGTTGAAGACCATAGATCTGCAGAACTTGAAGAATTATTTTAACATGTTATCACATTTATCAACATTTTCCATTTTCCATCATTGTACACAACCCCCCCAATTAATCAAACTATCATAATGCAAGGTAAAGGGAGACCAATATAGGCCACATCACAGAATAATGTCTGTATTTTAAATATTTTTATTGTGGGGGGAGGGGAGGAAGAGAGGTTAAATCCCAGAGCAGTTGTATGAAGTTATTAATGAAGGTCTTAGGTTTGGTTCACTCTAACCCCATTCTAGACTGCTACTGATCTCTTTGCAGTCAGGAAAAACAAGAACTTATTTCATTCAGAAATAAGTGATTACTAGGGTAAACTCTGAACTTTACAGTTTGGAAAAATGTGCAGTTTAACAATTCAGTGCTAATTATGAAAACAAATAAAGCCTTGTTACTAGTCAAGTTATTTCACTTAGAAAATGCTTCTTTACCTCCATTTGCATTAATAACTAGGGAAAGCACATGAAAAAAATTTCCAACCAAACACATAATTACTGCCAAATACACACAAGAAAACATAGCCAGGACATTTCTCAGCTGGCTCAGAGTTTAAATTTTAATAGAAATATCAGTGTTACATGTACATAAGCTTGTTAGGGATAAGACTGTAAACAAGAAAAAATATTGAATTTACTGCACACCATTTAAAGACAAAAGACAGCACTGTGCTCTCTGGTATCATCAAATCTTTGTGAAATCAAGAAAAATTAAAAAGAGCATTTAGATTATCTGCCATGTGATGAAAAGCAATTTAATAAAATCTATATGTTCTGACAACATATGTGCATATAGGAAAAAACCTCTTACCAACTCTGTCTGGAAGGACTTCAAGTGCTGAAACTCTTTCATCTTTGTGCAGCTCTAGTCCATACACACAATCAAATCCATCATACTTTATAAGATAGAGAGAGGGATTTACAGGAACTTGATCAAGCACTGTGCCCTTCCATTGTGTTACAGGTCCACTCCCTTCTTTCCAGCCATGCTGTATTCTGCAGCCTACAATGTTTCTTCGTGGCTGAGAAATAGGTTTGCTTGGTCCAACATTGTTTCTATGCTTTCTGTACACAGATACAAACATAACATTAAACAAGTACATGCTCAAAATTCCACTCCAGTCAAGAGCTGTGTGCTTTAAGAAGGCAATATATTATTATACATTAATAAAAATACATTAAATTCTAACATGTACAGCTTAGTGCACCTTATTCAAATTAAGGTATAAAGCATATTATTACATTGTACTGGAAAAATAAAAAAACCACACTGAAAAGTAGTGGAACACTTTCAACATTTTGTATAAGGTTGCTTTCGTAATAGTAATTTCGAAAACTAGCTTGCTTAAGCCAAAAGAACTATTTTAGCCATTGCTACACTGAACATCAAAAGTAAAACTTGCTTGTTAAAACCCTAAATCAGGTCTCAAAGAGCAATGTTACCTAACAGTATTATACTTCTGCTACTTTGTTGCTCTCTGCAGATGAGTAAACATAATTCCCTTACTCCAGGAGGAATAAGTCAGTGGAACCATTAGTGAAGGTTGACTAAAATTCTTCAAAACATATGTTTTCTCTAACCTATGTTGTCAACTGAAGGAAACTTTGCTTCCCTCTGCACTTACAGGTAACTGACTTCAAAGACACATGGTAGTGACAATATTCTTCTAACACTCCTTTTTAGTACAAGAAAAATGATATGCAAATGTCACAGTAATAGAAGGGATACTCTTTAAAGCAGATAATAAATTAAATATACCTTTTATCTTTCCTCAGTTTTTTAATACAACTTGCATGGAAAGATTCCTTCTGGTGAATATCAGTTGCTCTGATAAATAGTCATGTAAGCTATTTTACAGTTTCAACCCACTAAACCAATGTTACACAAGTTTTATTCTACTCAGTTAAAAAAAACCAACCCAGTAACTGACAGTTGTGAATACAAGTGAAGAAACATATGAACAATACAATACATTTGTGACAAATATATATTCTCTTTATTTTAGCATGTTGCAAAATCCATATTCATTCCTAAAATTATATTTAGAGGGTTGTCTGATTAAAATTCTCATGAATGTTAGCAATTTCCAAAATAAACTTCTGTATTAGTTACTAGTTATAGTACACTTCATTTAAATGGCAATAAAATATGCACATCACTAGCATGCTTAAAAGCAACATGTAAAAAAAGAAAAATCAGTTGCAGAAAACAACATCCATCTTTAGATTAGTGACAGTGACCAAAGAGAAATGTCTCTAGGAACAATGAAGGCTCACAGAATAGCCCATGTATGACAGAGAACCAAAAGACACAAATAGCAATCATATCAGTAAAGTCTAAGAATAAGTATTAAAGAATAATAAAAACAGTATATAAAATTAGTTATGCTGAAGATGTAATCATAACTATATTAAAAAAAAGATGTACAATTGAAGGAATTGTCCCAGCAGCTTGTCCCACCTCCAGATTTTCATTCTCCATGAAAATCTTAGCAGAGTTCCACAGTATCTTTTGTAAAATTTAACGTTTGTGATTATTTAATCTTATCAAGGAGATCAGTCTGCATTCATAACCTGTGTTGTCAAAGTTAAGAGTATTATAGAAATGCTAACCTCTTCCAGTTAAGAGGCAAAGTTGGTACTAATTTTCCACAGAAACTTGAACACATGTTCAAATACTAGTTCTCGCTCAAGTATTACTTTATAAAAAATATATAATACTCTCAATAATATTTTACTATGAAGAAATGAGATGAGAGATCTGGCTCTTGGGCACAATGAAAATGAGTTTGTTTTGCATGCATCTAATTTATTTAGTTTTAATTAATCTTAATTCTATTTTAAGGCATCCTCACAGAATAAAACCAACTGCTACTGAAGCTAAAAAGTTAAAGCTGAAAAAGGTAAAATACTGTTCATGTTTAACCACACAGTCAATTTTACTTTCTGCCTATAAAGCATAATCATAACATTTAAACTTGCACATTTAAGTGAAAAGCTTCAGTAATTTTAAAAAACATGATGGAAAAAGACTATGTAATTAAGTTCAAATTGGTAGCTACCTTTTAAAATGCGTGGAGAGAGCAAAAAGTATTATAAATACAAATCAAGCAGCAGCTAGGTATACTTGCAGTTCCAGTTTTTCTTTGAAGGCTGTACTACTGGACAGCCAGTCATTTTCATTTGTTCATATAGCAAGAAATATGATTTTCAAACAAATAAATTGCTAAAGAAAAAATATTTTTGCTTGCATCTGAATATGTAATAGGAAAGAAAACATAGGTTTCTAACTGACTACAAATAAATGAACGTCTAAATAATAGAACAGGTCCATGTCTTTCTTGCACTGGGGACCTCAGAGCTGAATGCAGCACTCCAGGTGGGGTCACATGAGTGTGGAGTAAAGGGGCAGAATAACCTTCCTCGACCTGCTGGCCATGTTTCTTTTTCTGCAGCCCAGGATACAATTGGCTTTCAGGGCTACAAGCACACATTGTTACCTCATGTCCAATTTTTCATCTACCACTATGACCAAGTCCTTCTCTGCAGAGCTGCTCTTAATCCTTTCACCCCTAGTCTGTATTGATACTGGGGATTGCCCTGACCCAGGTGCAGGACCTTGCACTTGGCCTTGTTGAACCTCATGAGGCTAGCACAGGCTGACTCCTCAAGCCTGTTGAGGTCCCTCTGCATGGCATCCCTTCCCTCAAGTGAATCAACTATACCGCTCAGCTTGGTGTCATCTGAAAACTTACTGAGGATGCACTCAATCCCACTGTCTATGTCGTTGATGAAGATAGCTATCAGTACACTTATATATAAGATAATAGTAACTTTCTCAAACATGTTTTTATATCAATTGTATGTTGTTTCTGTGATAAGCAGAGTAACACACATGTATATAACATTCTGAGATGCTATAATCAGAAAACCCAAAATGTTTCCCTTCTGTTTTACTAGAATTATCTTTATAATATCATAAAGTTTTGATCTTAAAGACTGGGATAACATTTCAAACCCCTACACATTCAATATTTCAATTACCCTACATATATAAAACACACAGAGCCAGGAAAATCAGCTAACACCAAGATCTAAAAATAGTTCCTGATGCATCAGTCATGCCCTCATTGTAAATAGCCATTCAACTGAAGTAAGTTTTAGAACCTCTTATTTAATAGAAATCAAAGAATCATTTAGGTTGGAAAAGACCTATAAG